TCTCCGTCCTTTCATTCATCCCTTCACCCATTCATTCATTCAGTTTAACACAGCTGCAGCAGATCTGGGCCACAGAGCTCACTCTCATCACAGCGCAGTCCGGGTTCAGAACGTGTTACGTGTCTCTGGGAGGTAATGAATGCCGAGAGCGAGAGAAAAAGAGAGACGATGCTCGCAGTTTGAAGACAGAGCTGACTCACACTCATTCTAACTGATAGTGAATCATGAGCTCTCTATTCAAGACGGTTCATTCAAAACTCAATTGCCTCAAACTCTTCAAGACTTCACTGAAGATGAAATGTGATTGTTCTGACGCACAACAGAGTGCACTTGAACGCTTCTCTCTTTCTTTGTTAGCTTGTTCACTGCAGTGGGGTATAGCAGTGAAGCCAATAGCAACCGAGAGAGAGTGTGAATGGGGGGACCCTGTTGATGGTACGCTGGTATGACTTCAATGACCACCCTCTCGCCTCTCTCCTCTATCTTTGCTCTTTCCATTCTGTCAGCAATGACTCTAATGAATGTGAGTTTGCCCACTGACTGAGTGAAAAAAAACACTTGAGAAGACATGATAGAAATACAGACACTAATACACATGGATATACAACATTAAAGGAATGCTCTGTGTTTATCAACAACATACTATCAAATTCCACGGAAAATGGTTTCGACTCATTCCTAAAAACAAACCAATATCAACAGTTTTGAAGTGGTATTTCATCCAAAAATTAATCTTGTCATCATCTGCTCACCCTTATGTCGTTCCAAACTTGTATGACTTCATACTACTGCAGAACAGAAAAGATGATATTTTGAATAAAGTTTTTAAAATAACTGTTTTTGTCTAAAACAGTGTTTGACCCTATTTACTTTTATTATTTATTTATTTATTTATTTTTAAATCACAATTTTTTTGTTCTGCATTGGAAAAAAAATGCATATGGTTTTATAATACCATAAGGCTGAGTAAATAACAATGTTTCCACTTGTATCTCTTGTAATTGTGTATCACTTGTGATTGTGGGATGAGTCAATATTTTCTGCATGCTATAGGTAGAAATTAATGGGTAACTATGGTAAATTTGTCTTGCAATCTTTATCGGTGAAGTCTAATTCTCACAATGCAATTATTTGATAAGCCTTAAAATTTTCACACTGAATATCCTATTTCACTTGCAAACACACTACTGTTCAAAAAATTTGGGTCAGTAAGATATTTTTTAAGAAATTAATAGTTTTTTGTTTGTTTGTTTATCACATTTATAATGCTGAAAAAGATTTCCATTACAAATAAATGCTGTTCTCTTGAACTTCCTATACGTCGCTGGATCCTGTAAAAATATTCATATAATAATCTTATAATAACAAATGATTCCAAATCAGCATATTAGAATGATTAAGAATCATGTGACACTAAAACTGGAGTAATGGCTGCTGAAAATTCAACTTTGCATCACAGGAATAAGTTACATCTTAAAATATATTTTAAAAGTTATCTTAAATTGCAATCATATTTCACAATATTACCGTTTACTGTATTTTTGATCAATGCAGTGAGTGTAAGGCAATTTTTTTTTTTTATATTTGAAACATTTACTGACCCCAAACTCTTCAACTGTAGTGTCACATTACTGAACCACAATGCCAAACAGAATTTCATAACCACATTAACATACAAAAGTGTCTATCCTTGCATACAGTTTAATCAGGCCATGAATTAAAGAGATAGTTCACCCAAAAATGAAAATTCTGACATTATTTACTCACCCTCATGTCGTTCCAAACCCGTAAGACCTCCGTTCATCTTCGGAACACAAATTAAGATATTTTTGAAGGAATCTGAGAGCTCTCTGACCCTCCCATAGACAGCAAGGGTCCTTACACGATCAAGGTCCAGAAACGTAGCAAGGAGATCGGTAAAATAATCCATGTGACATCAGGGGTTCAACCATAATATTACGAAGCTACGAGAATACTTTTTGTGCACAAAAGACAAAAAAAACACTTTATTCAACAATTCATCTCCTCAGCGCCATTTTGGAGAATATCCACTGAACTTAATGTACGCCAAAATGGCGCTAGGGTGGAGGATTCGAATTGTTGAATAAAGTCCTTTTTTGTTTTTTCTTTTGCGCACAATAAGTATTCTCGTAGCTTTGTAAAATTAGGGTAGGGCTGTGCAATTAATCGCATGCGATTGTCATGCGCATCTCGTCAGTAAAGCCGGTTCCGTGATTGGTAGTAAATCGCCATCACCTGCTTTCAGATGGAGCGGCATTTAATACACAGAGCCGTAGTTCACTGACGAGCTAGGCGATATCGCGATCATAATCGAATACGATTCATCTGCGATTATGAACGCGATATTGCCTAATTGTCAGTGAACTATGGCTCTGTGTAGTGAATGCCGCTCCATCTGAAAGCAGGTGATGGAGAATCACGGGACCGGCTTTACTGACGAGATGCGTATGACAATCGCATGCGATTAATTGCACAGCCCTAAATTACAGTTGAACCCCTGATGTCACATGGATTATTGTACCGATGTCCTTGCTATGTTTCTGGGCCTTGATCGTGTAAGGACCCTTGCTGTCTATGGGAGGGTCAGAGAGCTCTCAGATTCCATCAAAAATATCTTAATTTGTGCTCCGAAAATGAACGGAGGTCTTATGGGTTTGAAACAACATGAGGGTGAGTAATTAATGACAAAATTTTCATTTTTGGATGAACTATCCCTTTAAGTTTTATGGCACCAAAAATAGCCATGATTTTTTTTTTTATGACAATTTCCATCCTCTCACTAACCATAGAACTAAGTTTTTGCTACTGTACCTTTAAGACCACTATATGTAAATGACCTGTTATGCTCAAATAACCCCCACATGATAGCATAGTTTACGCATCGTTCATCTGGGCGAGCCAAATTGCTGAACAGACATTGATATGCAAATATCGTGGTGATTGTGCCATGATAACCATGACCATTTTCCAAATGAGCAGTTTTTTGCAGCTTTGTTTCAACTAATGGCCCATATTCTACATTTCACAAACACGCATGATGGGATCTGAACTGCCACTCCTTGTGACAGAATCTGCTAACATTAACTGCAGGGATTCCACTTCTCCTCATGCAACAAACCGTTACACAACCATAGAAACTTGAGACACATGCAGCCTTAACAGCCCGTTCAGGAATCTGCCCTGAGCCACTGCACTATGGGTAAGGGAGGACACTTATGTTTCTGTGGCAGTATCCTTGAGCGTGGAAAAATTAAAACGAAGACCGGGAAAGAGCTTGATGGAGAGAGACATTTCATAACCATAGAATCTGTGTAAAACATAACCCAATCCCAAACAATTCAGCAGCAATTTAGTGGAATATAAATAAAAAGCTGAATGGAGAACAAACATTTCATAACCATATGATGAACAGAGATTTACAATATTCAATTCAGCAGCAATTCAGAGGTAAAAGGGTCACGACTGGAGCATTACATAAAGAAAAGACATTTATTACTTGTCACCAGTGAAGCACATGAAAGAAGGGTGTGCGTAGGAACTCCTCGCCCTGTTCCCCGGTTGAGAAAGGTCACAGAAAGCGAAGATGTTGTGTTTGTGAGGGTGGACTGCGGAGGAAACATGACGTGGGTGCAGAAAGGGTGTCTGTGTGGGAGAGAGAACGAAAGGGAGAAACAGAGAAGGAGAAAAGAAGGGTGTTTCCTCACTGAGCTGATCAAATAAAATCTGTTTTTATGTATTTTGCAAAATCCAACAATCCAACTATCCAGAATCCGCCCACATTGGACTAAATCACAACATTACAATTCCAAGGTTAATCACTTGTCTTTAAACACTAGGCTCGGAACACTCTTCATTGATCCATGCGGCATTAAATAAAGCTCAACACTGACCCAGACCAGACCCTAAACCAATGTGCCTTTATTATGCTGCTTTAAGTGTGTGAATGGTGGCTGTTTGATTGGTAATTGGACTGAGATATAGCTGAACCTGTCCTTGGGGGACAGGAGCTTGTGTCATTGCACTGAAGAACAGATCTAGAGCTCGGAGTGCATGTCAGAGGTCCACACTCATCTGTAATACAGCATCAACTGAATACATAATCCCTATTGTGAGTGAACAGACCAATACTGTCCCCTTGAGTCTGACTATAACACTGCAGCTACAGTAAATCTAAAGATTATGCGCTACAGACCTGCAGAATGAATGCTCAACACAAATAAATCAGCTCAATGTTTGTCCACTCTTTAAAATAACAAAGTTGGAACTACGAATGTTGAAAATGCACCAAGAAACCAAGGTTCCTCGTCTAGGCCAACCACATGATAGAAGATAATTTATGGATCATGAGCTTCTCCGTGAGAATTGTTCTTCATATTTTGTAGGTTCCTCTTGAGAAACTTGGGCTTACATGCTTTTACAAAACCTCTGGCTAAAACACCTCTAGCAATAATATTGCTTTCTCCAGTGGAAAAATCTAGTCTGAATCAGGAGAGAAATATGCACAGATCATGCACTACTTGCAAGGGAAAACAGTCCAAAACAGTTCTAAACAAATATGTCAGAGGACACCAGTGGATGGACTTTTTCACTGGAGGAGGTGTTATTATGAACGGTTTAAACGGTGGATTTGTTTCTTACAAACATGCAGTTTTCGCTTCACAACGTTTATTGATCCACTGGAGTCCTGTGATTTCTGTTATGTTTTTATCAGCTGTTTGATCTCTTTCTGACGGCACCCATTCACTGCTATTTATTGTAATCCTAAAAAGTCATCTACATCTTAGATGGCCTGAGGATCAGTCAATTTTAAGAATTTATGGGTTAACTATTCCTTTAAGGCAGATCAAAATATCACAAAAATAGTGCAGTAGCGCCCCCTGCTGACCATACGTAATATACACAATACAACAATATACAATTACTCATATTGCACATTTCAAATTGTAAAACGGGTTTTGTGTTGTAAGTGTCTAACTTACCTAGCATTAAAATGTTTTCTTCCGTTCCCACGTGCTGTTTGAGCAGATGGTCAAATTTAGTGAAGTCCCCGAACCACTCGAAGCTGTCCTCCGTCCGGTACCGTTCATTCCAGTAATCCACATCCTTATATCTGGCATTAGAGTCCGGCAAATACTCCATCCTACTTTAAAACATAAACGAAAGTCCTGCGTGTTAGCTTGTAATTAAAATATGCATTACTGTCATAACATCACTTGTTGTTGCGATGGTTTGTAACACAATGACAAGCCCAACTGTGTCTGGGTCAGATCTGTAAATGCTTTGCATAATGTTGATTGATCACACGAAACACTAATTTGGTTAAACTCTTTGAACCAACCAGGTCACATAGTAAACTATAAAATAAAAATCGGTATTTAGAGGCTCTTACCAAGTCAATGTCTTAATCAGTCTTACTGTGAATTATAACATGTGCGTCTTAAACACCGAATAAGAATAGAGGAAACTACAAGAGGGTATTTTAAAACAGATCTGTGGGTATTCTACCCACGTGTGTTTTTTTTTTTTTCATGCATTCTAACCTCGTGGTCATCATGACGCCAAGAGTGGGACTTTAATGCAGTGATGTCAAAATAAAAGTTTAATAAAACGCAAGAGGTTGTTTGCTTGACATTGGGAAATTAACCTCACATTGTTTGATCACAGAAAAGTTGATACTTTAAAGTATATGTCATAGACATATTTATATTGTTCATAATATTGCATAATTATGATTCTCGTCATACGATTGTTGTTACTATGGTCATGGTTATTTGCCCAGTTTGATTATAGGTTGGCTTTCAACCACAATTAATAGCACCGTTTGAATCAAACTACATCATCCTTTGGTTTCCTGTCTATTAAGACTATAATGTGCCTTTTAAAGCGTCATGACCGTCTTCTGTACTGAATAATTCATCTGCACCATTAACGGTTTGGTTTTCAGCCATTGTTATCCTGATGGTCCTGTACAATAAACTCGTGAAAACCCAAGAAGCTCGCCAAAACGCTGATACAACGTTCCAAAAATATTTTAAAACGACAGTGCCAGACTAAAATAAAGTAAATGTTAAATTAAGGGAAATAGTCAAATAAAACTAAAACAACCAGAGTAGCACACATGACACTTAATACAGTAAACACAGAAAACAAAGCTCTTTTATGAACTAAACAGCATATTATTCGGAACAACACCCATACAAATAAAATATTTAAATGAGATGGTTAGGGCGGAGAATGGTAAATTCAGTACTTTTTAATAACAAAAATTGCCATAAAAATATGTGTTAGGCCTACTTATCCTTAAATGTGTCCTTAAATTCTATTGTAATTCAGAATTTTTACAACACATTTTGTTTTTTTGTTTATTTTTTACAACATTATAGTTAAAATTGCATGGGCTACGTTGTCTTTTTACCACATTACTCTATCTGATAGTTTTTTAATGTAGCATTTTCACGTTCTTTTGACTACATTTTAATTTAAAACGTTTCTTTTTTTTCCTTCTTTTTTTATGCTTTATTAATTCAATGCCACAAGAACATGAGGTATTACATATTCACATGATCAAATTAACATTATTAGCTGCCAGAGAAAAAAAAGAAAAAAGGGAAGAAAATTACATAAAGTTCAATGCTTTCAGAACATTACATGTTTTCAGTGCTTTTTTGTTTTTTGTTTGTTCTAAGAGATTTACATATAATTTAAAGTCATTTATAAAATGTGCAAAATTTGGTTTACATTGAGCCCACTTCTTCTTATGTATATGGAATTTTCCTAACAAAATAAAAAATTACATTTCAACAAAAAGTCTATGCCTCCAAGAGTATTAAATATATAATTAGGAAATACATTCCAAGGACTTTCTCTATTCTTCATAAACTCTATCAACCATTTAATTTTAAAAGTGTCATTGAGAGTATTATAATCTAAGACCTCCAGTCCCCCTTGCTCTTTAGGATTACAAATTACCTCCTTTTTTAAATAATGTGTTTTTTTTCTCCAAATAAAGTTATAAAGAATCTGATCTAGATCTTTAATAATCTTGGGAGGCACATCTAACGATAATGATGTGTAGACAGATCTAGATATACCTTCCGCCTTTGACAATAATACCCTCCCAAATATTGAGATGTCCCTCATTAACCACAAATTAAATTTCTTTTTAGTTTTCTCAATAAATTTAAAACGTTTCAATCCAACCCCTGGCGCCCTCTGCTGATCAGTTGGGCGTGGCGTTTGTGAGTGGGCGGAGTGATGGCGTACTTCCTTTGGCGGGAGCTGTGCGAAATTCAAAGCCGCGGCTCAAACCGTTCAGTCTGTCCAGTCCGCTTTCTACGGATTAGCTTTTCTGGTCAGGATTTGGTCGGAATAAATTCACATTTTTTTTTGCACGGTGAGTGTTTGGATATGTTATATTATTTATTTAAACCGTAGGAAGTGTCGTGTACTAAGAGAAATTAAGTTTTTGTCTGTTTATAACGTTACTGTGGTTAGCGTAGCATGTTAGCTTGCCCTGACAAAACAAAAAAAAAAACATGTTTTGCTTAAGTTTAATATTAATAGAAACTGTTTTTCCTTATTATTTTGTGATTATGTGTAACCGAGGTGATACATTTAAGTGTTAGACTAGAAGACCTCTATAGAGGTCGGTTGCTGCAGTGACTTTACCTACGGATCAGCATGTTTGTATTCACTAACTTTAACATACTTGTTGTTTAGGCCTGCAGGGATGTCGTGGGATTTTATCGTACCGGTTTGTTCGGACGATCTCGTGAAGTCTGGTGCTGTTAACCAGTATGTGGTTCAAGATGTGCTGTCTGTTAAACAGCTAAACTCTCATATCAACAGTAAGTACTGAGATCGTTTTAACTGTATGCATTTCAGTATTGCCTCTCTTATCTGTACTGGTGTAATTCCCCTTTTCTGCCTGTTTTGAAGGTTTTAAAGCAGCACTGAGAAGTCAAGGGCCCCTGTGCATCCTGGAGCATTTTGACACAGCATACAGTGTTTTGCAGTAAGTGTGGTGTGGACACATTCCCATAATAAGGCTTGTTTGTTAAAATCTACACACAACTTTTTTTTTTATGCAACAGTAAAATTTGTGCATATAATGTAAAACACAAACTATATACAATTTCCAAACCCTTTGAACAAGTTAATGAAAAATGTGTATTATTATAATAAGTTATATAAATATAGGAGAATCGAACATTAATTTTTAGCAGCTGTTAAACTGAAATATATATTTTTCCTGAAGACCAAATTATTAACACAGATGAATCATCAAATGAAAACAAGTTGACCATAATAACAGTTCTTACAGCTTGTTATAATGTTTTGTCAAGAGTGTTTCAAACCCAAGAGCATTATACAGTTCCTTACAAGAAACTGATATGGTAATGACAAAATGGTGCTAAATGAATAACATTGGGGGGGGGGGATAATATTATATTCTGTGCTTTATTAAAAATCAACCCCATGTTTTACCATCATGCCTTTGTCTAAGCACAATTTTCTAATTGCTTCTAGACATTGTCGCACAGTTGATGTGGCAATAAAAGAAGACACACTGGAGTTGCTGATACAAGGTTAGTATCTCATAGTCATACTTACTTAACACCTACCCCCGGTTTCACAGACAAAGCTTAAGCCTAGTCCTAGACTAAAGTCTGAGCTGTTTCCATGCAGCCCAAAATTAAACGACTTAATCGACCATCGATAGCTTTAATCGATTGCATCTCTTATCGACAATTAATCGATCATCGATTAATCGTTGACATCCCTAGTTTCAACTGAAAGAAACTTGCACTGACTGATCTTAAAATATATCAGTCTTTGTTTTATCTCAAGATGCACACCAGTAATGTTTTTTAAGGCACGTTTATAAAAATTACTTAAATGCCCTAATTGAACTATGGCCTAATCCTGGTTTATGCTAAACCCTGTCTTTGAAACCGGGCCCTTGTGTCATATTGCTTCTCGTTATGCCCAAAGCTACATTTCTCATAAAGTTTCACAATGCTCTCTGTTCTCAGTGGTCAGGGGCCTGTCTGTTTCCCTGCCGACCCTTCTCCTGTCAGGCTCTCTGTTAGCCATGGACCGCAAACAGCAGCTCAACACCGTGAAGATGAGTGTTTTTCTTCTTTGCAAACTCACAGAAACACTTGAGAGTGACTCGTACAGGGAGACTATAGTCACGGCACCCAGCAAGGTACTACTGAATGTTATCAAGTTTTTATTATTCAAAAGTTGTTTATACTATTGTCCTGTGATGAGAACAAGGCAAATATGAGCTGATTGGCTGATTTTGTGTTCTCTTGCTTTCTGACTGGTGGGTAATCTTGGCAGAGCAGTGGAGATTGGCTGCGCTGCTGTAAGGGCCCACCCATATTAATGCTGGCTGTCAATCATAATACAATTCTCCTTTAGAAATGGATATTTGTGGATGATTTAGCAGCTCACAGTGCGTGTGTGTTTGAGTATGTCCCGAGTGTGTGTAAATGTGCCAGTCAGCAAAGAGTCACATGTCCTAATGGGCCCACCAGCTGTGAATGTTTTCTTTGGTAATCTGAGGGCAATAATTGTTGCTTCTAAGCTTGTTGGTTTTGTGTATACAGTATATTAAACTCTGTGTGTTTGTCTCAGGGTCGTAAGAAGGAAAAAGTTGCCGGAAAAGGTCTCCTGCAGTGGGACAGTGAGAGAGAGACCGTTCTTCAGTGTTTGACTCAACTGCTGCAGCTGGACATTCGCACACTGTGGAGTCTGTCTCTAGTGGAGGAGGAGTTTGTTAGGTAAGACACTGTTTTTCCTTTTAACCTGTCACTGTGTCTGTGTTTAATCTTTTTAACTCTAATTTAACATCATGATCACAAATGCAGTTTCTACTTGTCCAACATTTGTCGATTTATGCAGTTGTGTGACATGCTGTTGCTATAAACTCCTGGAAAACCCCACCATAAACCACATGAAGAGCAAGTCCACCAGAGATGCCATCATTCATGTGCTAGGAATCATGGTGAAGAAATACAATCACATGTTGGGTAGGTTTATACTGTATGTACACATCACACACCCGTAAGTAGGTTTGCAGGGGTGTAGATGTTGAGCTGAGTTGTCCTGAATATTTTCTGTTTCCTGTACAGGAGCATGTGTGAAGGTGATTCAGCTCTTGCAGCACTTTGAGCAGCTGGCATCAGTATGTGCTCAAGCTGTGGCTTCCTGGAGCTCAGAGTATGGGGTCAAGGTCATCGTCGGAGAGATCATGAGGTGACACTTATTAAATTGAACTTGTGATATTTTGTTGGTATGACTGCATGTATTATGTAATATCTATCTGATATATCTGTGGTTACAAATAAAGAGAAAAAAACATAACTTGCAAGTCTATATTAATGAATGGGTATTTCCGGTGTAGCACCACTCATCAAATTATATTATTTTACTTGTAAGTGTATCATTTGAAGTTTATTGTTACTTAAGGTTATTATTAAATATTATATTTTGGTTTGCCTCTATGAAAAGAAAAGAAATCCATTTTCCATGTTTTTACTGCTATATGTTCTCTAAATTACATTTTGGGGTTGTTTACAGCAAAATAAATATTTAGATTTTAATTTAACATTTTATTACAATAATATAACATTTTGATTATACTGCTCACCCATCATAATTTTCATACAAATCAAATCTCTGCGTGTGTGTTTCAGAGAGATTGGTCAGAAGTCAAGTGAGGAACTAGCCAGAGAAGGTTCAGGTGTGAAGGCTTTCTCCAGCTTTTTGTCGGAACTCGGTACTCTGGTACCTGAAACCATGATCCCCAACATCAGTGTTCTCCTGACACACCTGGAGGGAGAGGTACAGTCACATGTTCTCTATCGCATCGCTTCGGTCTTTGGAATCTTGCCCAGTGATGAGACTAAGGCGAATATGAGCCCACTGAATTAGAGTCTGAGCTCTCCTGCGTTCCTATTGGCTGGTAATCTTGGCTGGGCAGTGAAGATTTGCTGTCTTGCTGTAAGGGCCTGCCTAAATTCAACAAGCCCCTTTCTTTGACATTTCTATCCTTTGAAGAAATGGGGAAGAAAAAGGATGGAGCTTACATTTTGTGTGTTTGTGTGTGTATGAAGGGTCACAGGTTGAGTCTCAGTTCTCTGCAGTAATTCTTTGGGCATTGAGCTCTCTCTATCTGGTAATCTGAGGGCAATCATTTAAAACAAAGCTTTGAGTTTTATAGCTTAACTCTTCTTTGTGTGTGCTCTGTTAACATGCTGTTTGTGTTTGGACAGAGTCCGAGTCTACGGGTGGCAGTGTGTGAGGTTCTCGGTGAGGTTCTTGTCCGGGTTTTGTCTGGTGATAAGCTGGATGATTCTGCTCGTGCAAGCCGAGATCGTTTCCTGGACACATTGCAGGAGCACATCCATGATGCCCACTCGCATGTCCGAGCACGTGTGTTACAGGTCTATGCACGTGTTGTCAACAGCAAGGTGTGTGGATTGTTTTTGCCCTTTTCTCTTCAACAGAAAATGAAGGGTTTTATTCTTGGGTGCTCTAAGATATAATCCCCCGCCTCCTTTCCAGGCCTTGCCCCTGTGCAGGTACACAGAAGTTATGGAGCTGACCGTTGGGCGTCTGGGTGACAAGTCTGTCCATGTGTGTAAGAGTGCTATCCAGCTGCTGGCTGCCTTCATTGCTCATAACCCATACAGCTGTAAGGTACAAACATGCTCATAACATCTGGTAGATGCACTACCATTCAAAAACATTAACCTTTATTGACCCCAAACTTTTGAACACTAGTGTATTTAATTGTTTACATATATTAAATGTACTTGCTTTTGTTTTCTCCATGTCAAGTTGAGCAGTGTGGACCTGACAAATCCGCTGGAAAAAGAGATGGCCAAATTAAAAGAGATGAGAGACTCTCAAAAAGAGCAAGTTCCTGGTATGTTTCTTTCCTAATTGAATAGCTCCTTTTAGTCTCTAGCTCCAGTCTGCCTGGAGTCACTGGCGCTGCAGAAATTGATTCCAGCTAGGGCTGCACGATAAATCGCATGCGCGAATATGAACGTGGTTTTGCGCAGCTCGTCAGTGAACAACGGCTCTGTGTAGTTAATGCTGCTCAATGTGAAAGCACGCACGTGATGGAGATTTACCGCTGATTACAGAACCGGCTTTCTGACAAGATGCGCGTTAAATATCGCATGCGATTTATCGTGCAGTCCTAATTCCAGCTATAAGATTTTAGCTTTGGGTTTGTAGTTGCAGTCATAACAGCAGCTGATCTTTGGGATGCAATGAAGCCTGAGTTGGAGATGACTGTGAAAGCACAACTGGAGCCTGGCAGTGAGGAAGAGGAGAATGAAGAAGAGGAGGAGACCGGGGGAGAGGAGGAGAGAAGCGACAGAGACACTGCTTTACAAATTGCACAGCTTCTCCGGGAAAGCAAATACAGGTATATGTGAATTAACACACAAATATTCTCATACCCTTACTTCTGTTCACAGACATGCAATGTGTTTAATTGTTTGTAGGAAGGCAGTTGGTCTGTGCATACGGGCTCACTCACTATACCCAGAGTCATCGTTCTTCTCAGATCTGGCTGACCTAAATGCAGAAACCCTTATCAAAACTCTTGCAACACTTTTCAAGGGTATGTGTTACTTTGAATAGTCTTCTAAACTTCCACATTAAAGAGTCTTGCTCAGGCGCACTGTGGGACTAGTTCTTGGTCTCACCTGCCTAGATTAGATGACCGGTTTTCTAGTCCAAATAAAAACACGAGTTGTGTTTGTGTATCTCTCTTCTCTCAGGCCCAGAGCAGGAGACACCTGAGGCTGTGTCGAGCGATGCTCCACTCACCCCACAGAAAGAGGGTGGAGGGAATGAAGGTAGAGAGAGTGAACTAAAGAAGCAGGAGATGTTGGTTCAATATTTGAAAGACACAGAGAGCTTCGCTCTTCAAGTGGAAAGAGCTATCGCTGTCATTAACAACATGCTGTACTGGAAAACCACTACAGGTAATTTCTATGAATTTAAATGACTGGCTGGATTATATTAAAGTTGGCATGAAATGAAAATTCTCCCTATTTTCTAAATGTTCATTTCATCCATTTACCTTTTAATCCAATCATCTGGTGAAAATACTTCTTATGACACATGCCAGACTTCCCCAATCATTTAGTCCACTTAAACCCCTCTCTTGCAATTGACTGCAAAGTCTCATTCAACTCTGCCTCAATCCGGTTAACGACCAGTGTTTAAAACCAGTGTCTCTGCCATGCATTTTCTCCATTTTTGATCATTTGTTTTACTCTAATATAAACCACAATACAAAAGAAAAGACTGTATAACTTTAAATACAAAATACAAGGTTGGCAATGTGTGGTTTCCTCTGATCTCCCTCTCTCAGTTGTGCAGGAGGCAGTGCAGTTCTGTGTCACAGCGTTTGAGTTTAGTGTGGCCGACTCTGTGTGTGGGGTCAGAAAGATGCTGCCTCTTGTCTGGTCCACTGATGTCACAATCAAAGATGCCGTCATTCAGGCCTACAGACGCCTGTACCTCAACCCCCACGGTGACAACACCAGGTCTGCTAACATTTTGATTCAATCCTTAAGGCTAAAGGAACACAATTTGATATACTGTAGCTCAACTAGCATTTTGTGTCTGTCCATCAGGGCGAAGGCTCAGACTCTAGTGGATAATCTGTCGGATCTGACGATCGATGCTTCATTGGGGACCGTCCAGTGTCTGGAGGAGATTGTGAGTGTCTTTTGCCCTGCGTGTAAGCAGTCATGCCCATAATTTATTATTCTTTAACATTGTTTTTGTCTTGGTGCAGGTCCAGGAGTTTTTCAGCAGTGAGAGTGCCCTGCAGACTTCAGTGGTGCAGGTTTTGTGGGAGAGGTTCTCTGGTAAACGAGAGACTAAAGCACTTCACAGAAGAGCTGCAGTGCTATTGCTGGGCATGGCAGCACGGTGAGACACTCAACTCTTAACGCTTCTTAATGATTCTGTTGAACTGATTTAATGTCACAGCATAATAATAATTTTGCCCAATGATGAGACCAAGGCGAATGCGAGCTCGTTGGGTAAGAGTCTGAGCTCTTCTGTGCTCCTATTGGCTGGTAATCTTGGCTGGGCAGGGGAGATTTGCTGCTTTGCTGTAAGGGCCTGCCTACATTAAGCAAGTTCTTCCTATCAAGCTTTCCCTCAGAGAAATGCAGGAGAAATTTGGGAAGGATGAACATAGTGTGTGTGTGTGTGTGTGTGTGTATAGACGTGGACACAGGTCGAAACTCAGTTCTCTGTGATGTCCAATGAGCTGTGAGCTAGTTCTTCCGTCATCCAGGCTTACAGGCGCCTGTACCTCAACCCCCCCGGTGACAACACCAGGTCTGCAATCATTTTGATTCATTTCATAAAGATGAAGGAACACAATTTAATATACTGTAGCTCAACTGGCCTTTTGTGTCTGTCCATCAGGGCAAAGGCTCAGACTCTAGTGGATAATCTGTCAGATCTGATGATCGATGCTTCATTGGGGACCGTCCAGTGTCTGGAGGAGATTGTGAGTGTCTTTTGCCCTGCGTGTAAGCAGTCATGCCCATAATTTATTATTCTTTAACATTGTTTTTGTCTTGGTGCAGGTCCAGGAGTTTTTCAGCAGTGAGAGTGCCCTGCAGACTTCAGTGGTGCAGGTTTTGTGGGAGAGGTTCTCTGGTAAACGAGAGACTAAAGCACTTCACAGGAGAGCTGCAGTGCTATTGCTGGGCATGGCAGCACGGTGAGACACTCAACTCTTAACGCTTCTTAATGATTCTGTTGAACTGATTTAATGTCACAGCATAATAATAATTTTGCCCAATGATGAGACCAAGGCGAATGCGAGCTCGTTGGGTAAGAGTCTGAGCTCTTCTGTGCTCCTATTGGCTGGTAATCTTGGCTGGGCAGGGGAGATTTGCTGCTTTGCTGTAAGGGCCTGCCTACATTAAGCAAGTTCTTCCTATCAAGCTTTCCCTCAGAGAAATGCAGGAGAAATTTGGGAAGGATGAACATAGTGTGTGTGTGTGTGTATAGACGTGGACACAGGTCGAAACTCAGTTCTCTGTGATGTCCAATGAGCTGTGAGCTAGTTCTTCTGTAGTCTGAGGGCATTCTTGTCTTTATCATGCTGTTTAAGGCATGGTGTGCATTATTTCAATCTGTTACTTCATTTTGTGTGTGTGTTTAGTGCTGAGAGGGAGGTGGTTCTCAGTAATTTGGACACACTCTGCTCTGTCGCTCTGGGTGAGAAGGTTGCAGAAGATTATCTGCTGGCTCGGGACACACTCATCACCATTGCTAACATTACAGACCATGTGAGGGTATGTATTCACATTTTATGTATAAACTGCCAATTAAAGGTTTGGGGTCCAACCCTCTACGCACACCAAGTAAGATTTAGTCGCATATGCAAGTGATTTACTCGCAATGTAGAGGGTTGGGGTCATTACGATTTTTTTGTTATTTCTGAAAAGTCTCTTATGCTCACCAAGTCTGCATTTGTTTGATCAAAATGCAGCAAAAACAGTAATATTGTGAAATACTAACTTTTTTTTTAATTAAAAAAAAAAAAATCCTGTGATTTGAAATGAATTTTGGGCAGCTATTATTCCAGTCATCAGTGTCATATGGTCCTTCAGAAATCATTCAATCAATCAATATGCTGGTTTGCATGCTTTTGTGTGTCACAGCAATCCAAGGGTGTTCCCTTTAGGCTTCCTATGGACCACCATCTCTTCAGCTGTTTGTCCCAAGCCATTGCTGATGGTTTGTACTTTTTACCTCTTTTTGCCATTGTTTACATCTCTTATTAGCTTTTGTGTTGGGTAATCTGATCACAAGTTTTTAATAAAATGTTGTACCAAAAATTTTAAAGGCTTTGCCACACTTTTCCCCCCAACACATACTCTTGTGATTTTTCTTTCCATGTGAGTAGATAGTCCTTCGTTGTTTAGGATCTGTTGGCTTTAATGCTACAAATGCAAATTGACCACATGTCCCTTAATACTTTTACACCTTCAAGATTCATGGAACTCCTTAATACTTGTCTTTTTTTTTGTTTTTTTTTTAATTATCACCCTGTCTGTGGATGCCAGGTGTAAATGTGGTCTTTCTCTCATTCTCCTTTCCTTATCTGGTTTCTTTCATACGTTTCTGCTGTTGGGTAACGACTGTACCTTCATTTGAACAGGAGTAGTCCAGTCCGACCCCCACTGGCAGACCTTCATGGAACAGGCTGTCCGTCTCATCTACTTTTTGGCAGAGTCCCCTGACCAGCTGTGTTCCCGCCTCCTCCAGCGGTCCGCTCATCTCCTATTGGAACAAATCACAGAGGGCGGAGAGCCCAACCAATCACAACTGCAGGAAGGCGGGTCTCAGGGCTCTGAGGAGCAAGGTAATGTCAGCACGAGATGTAACTTTTTGCGTACTGTGTAATTGATATGAACTACTAAGACAATGACTTGGAAAATATTAAAATAGAAAACATTTCAATTGTAATGTTTCACTATATATCTTCACTGTTATTCAAATAATGCGGCTTGGTGATCATAAAAGACTCTGAAATTGTGTACACGTTTATGATTGCAAAGGTAAACTTCCTGTTCTTGTTCTAGTGAATTGCGTGAGCTTGGCCCAGGTGCTTTCACTGTGTGGAGCTGTGGCCTTCTGGCAGGTGTCTCACCTTGAGAGAAGTGTAAGCGCTGAGCTGCGGAGGAGAAGAGGAGAAAAGGAAGAGGAGGAGGAGAAAGAGAAGGCACCTGCCAACAAAAAGGTTAATGAAGAGTTTGAAGACAGTCCACTGATCGGTTGTTACCTGTTTTCTGTACAATCACATTAAAGTGCTGCCCAATGCACACTGCTGACTTATTTATGTGTCATTTGCTAGGAGGCTAATGACAGTTGTGTGGAGGAGGAGCTCGGGCTAGTGGGCGCCTCAGCTGAGGACACTGAGGCGGAGATTATCCGCAAGATCTGTGAGACTGAGTTATTATCTGGTGAGCCCATCTAAAGAAACTTGGAATAAAGAGGACAAAGTCTTCATAAACATGCATCGTAATTTTATGTTTATTAACATGTTCTTACCTGATTCACAAAGCACTAAAGCACTGATCCCTGTTGCACTGTGGTCTATCTTTGCAGAAGGGAACATGTTGAGTGCCTTTTTGCCTTTGCTGGTGAAAGTTTGCAGCTCTCCAGGGAAATATTCCCACCCTCAGCTCACCACTGCTGCCTGCCTGGCTCTGTCTCAGTACATGATGATCAGGTATTTCTGCTATTGTTTTATATTACACTACTGTTCAAAAGTTTGGAGTCTGTAAGATGTTTCGGTTTATAGAAATGGTTTTTAAAGAAGCCTCTTACAGTATCTCACAGAAGTGAGTACACCCCTCACATTTTTGTAAATATTTAATTGTTTTCATGTGACAACACTGAAGAAATGACACTTTGCTACTTGGGCCCGATTTGGACATTTTCACTTAGGGGTGTACTCACTTTTGTGGCCAGCGGTTTAGACATTAATGGCTGTGTGTTGAGTTATTTTGAGGGGACAGCAAATTTACACTGTTATACAAGCTGTACACTCACTACTTTACATTGTAGCAAAGTGTCATTTCTTCAGTGTTGTCACATGAAAAGATAAAATATTTACAAAAATGTGAGGGGTGTACTCACTTCTGTGAGATACTGTATGCTGACCAAGGCTGTGCTTATTTCAAAGTGAAAGGTTGTTTACAATCTAATTGTAATCTAAAATAACTGTTTTGTGCAGTTAGTATTGTGTAAAAAAAACTTTTTTTTTTCCTGTGATGCAAAGCTGAATTTTCAGCAGCCATTACTCCAGTCTTCAGTGACATGATCCTTTAGTAAATATTTTTATTATTATCCCCAAACTTTTGAATGGAAGGTTAATTGCATTATAATATTCATATCATATTTGTTTCTTTAACCATGCAGTATTAATATTCTGTGTCTCTTTCTCAGTCCTGCTGTTTGTAAAGACAATATCCGGCTGCTGTTCACTGTGCTGGAAAAATCTCCACTTCCTGTTGTCAGAGCCAACACAATTGTTGCTCTTGGTGACCTAACAGTCCGCTTTCCCAACATCCTGGAACCCTGGACGCCCAATCTTTACGCCAGGTAGCTCCCAATCACAAGGTCAAACAACCACTGGTCTAGGGATATTTGGCAAAATCAGTTGTCCTTGTTGATTATATTTCCTGCTAAATCTATTACAATGCAATCACTTGAAAGTTTCAGTTTAGTTTTCATAGGGTTTGAAATGTTTTGGATTCTGGTGATCAGTATTGTAACTGTTTGTCTTAAGGTTGAGTGATGAGAACGCATCTGTTCGGCTGACTGCCATCACGGTTTTGACCCAGCTGGTGCTGAAGGATGTGATGAAGGTCAAAGGTCAGGTCAGTGAGGTCGCAGTGCTCCTGCTGGACTCTGAGCCACACATCGCCAGCCTCGCTCTCAACTTCTTCAACGAGCTCTCTGCAAAGGTAGCTGTTCCACTGCAGCTCTGCCATCTCTTTTTCTCTCTCATCCTCCTCATGCCTCCTACAGGGATTAAAGTTCTCCGTCGCTACGATGGATTTCTGTTAATTGCAGCGAGTCTACGACGGATTTCCGTCAATTGGAAAAAATTAGGGGAAAAGAAACATGTAGCGCATTGTTGTTGTTCTGCGGCACACCAAAAATCATCCCCACCACGGCTGCAGCTTCTCAGTGACAACATAGTAATGCCGCTCGCATAATTCACAGTTGGGTTATTAGCAGAGAACACAGAGCAGAACTTGAATTTAGGCGTGGGATTGCAGCTATTAATAACAATTCTACTCATTCCCGCAGGTTCCGCGCTTATAACGCGATGACAGATGACGGAACGTATCATTTGCACGTGGTTTTGAGTCTTGAGAACTCACTCGCGCGCTCATTTTCTGTGCGCCCACAGATCGATAAGGAGAGTGACAACTTTTAATAGTTAAGGGAGTTTGCAAATGTGATATCGATTTAATACAACAGTTCAGTAAACAAGTACTGCCTGGTTTTGCTCTATTTCATCAACGAAAATAGTTCCAAATATAGTAACCGCTCAGCCGCTGTGCATCTCTAAAAGCAAACACAGCGGTGTTTAATTCATTCAATGAAAGTGTTTTTGAACTAATCTAGTGAGTCTTAAGTACTGTTAATTTAATTTGTATCTTGTTTTTGTTTGTGCTATTGATTGTCATTAATTTATTTGTTCTTTTATTATTTACTTGTCTTTTTTTAGTTAAATTCAATTCTGAGTGCACCTGATTGTTGGGTGGGGAGGGGGCGTGGTCCATGGGAAATAGTCCTGCCACCACAGCTGGAAAAAATCCTAGGAAACACTGCATACATTTAATAAAATTAGAAAAATGACATTACAAAGGTAAAAAGAAAAAGCCCCTGTAAGTCACTTTGAGTCAAATGTCACCTCATATTAGGAAGGCTAATTTTTGATCAGAAGGTGTTCCTAAATTTAAATTAGGAGGACAAGCGCTCCTAATTACAAGAAAAAACTGTTCTTAAACTGGGTGTGTGACAGGTATGGCTGTGGAACTGGGTTTGGCTGAGGAAAAATTTTCAGTCAAAATATATTTTTTTGCTTTAACCCCTGTGTTAAATAACACAAATATCCTTTATGCATTTAATCTCATTTTATTAACCAGTGTCTTTGCTGCTGACCTTCAATGATCCAATTCAACCATACTAATAAGCAAAAATTATTTTAGATAAACGTAACATTTGTGTTTCCACAATGTAACATGTAACATTACTTTCCATAAAAGTAACGCAATATTGTAATGCATTACTTTTAAAAGTAACTTTCCCCAACACTGGTCATGACTTGGCAAAATGTTAGCTTATTTATAATAGTTTTTGGCATGTAAATGTAATTTTTCATGCCGCCTTCAAAGGTATTTTGTCTTAATCAGTAGAAATTGAATCCCCCACTCTTCTGTTATGGTGTTGTTATATGGCAACCCATTGATTCAAAGGAGTAAACGCTTACACAGATGAGCCTTTTGAATGCAGTTGAGCATTGACTCAGCATCCATAGACAGGCATGATGGTGCTGCTTTTAATTGTGAGGTCGGACACGGTGGGGTTTCCCTTTCGCTTGAACTGTGTGGGGGGCTGAACGAGGCAACATTAACCCCTCACTTTCCTCTCCATCTTGAGGTCGAATGCTTTTCACGCCTTACCTGTGTAAAATAGAGGCTCTGAGGTAAAGGGTAGAGGTAAATCATTGTGTGAGAAAATCCCACTCAGTACATCCGAGCGATTGGAAAACCCCAGCCTTTTAGGTTAGACGCTTGAACCTACTTAAGTTGTTACTTTTCCAGTTCCCTGTTGTGAAGTTTTGATTCGTTTTCACAGTTCTGCTTGCTATGAAGTGCTTTGCTCAGCAGTGTTTATCACATGGGTGTTTAGACTTGGAAAAAAAGCATGGTCAACGGCCACCACTTAAGATACCACTTAAATTCGTACAAACAAATTATTGTCATTTTGAAGTGTCTTGAGTGCCATCTGAGAGCGTCAAATTTATTCAGTGTTCAGCAAGCTACTTTTAAAATTTTGAATTTAGCTGTAAGCTATAACTACATAAAGGTACTTTATATAGGTATTTAAAAAGTTGTTAGCTACTACAAGTTGCTAACTACATTCATACAGTGAAGACTAACCAGTGTTATTTTACAGTTGAATAGATTATAGTTAGACCTAACTGAAAAAAATTAAAGTACTGTTAATTTAATTTGTATCTTGTTATTGTTTTTGTTTGTGCTATTGATTGTCATTAATTTATTTGTTCTTATTTTATTATTTACTATTTACTTGTCTTTTTTTAGTTAAAATAAATTAAATTCTGAGTGCACGTGATTCTTGGGTGGGGAGGGGGCGTGGTCCATGGGAAATAGTCCTGCCACCACAGCTGGAAAAAATCCTAGGAAACACTGCATACATTTAATAAAATTAGAAAAATGACATTACAAAGGTAAAAAGAAAAAGCCCCTGTAAGTCACTTTGAGTCAAATGTCACCTCATATTAGGAAGGCTAATTTTTGATCAGAAGGTGTTCCTAAATTTAAATTAGGAGGACAAGCGCTCCTAATTACAAGAAAAAACTGTTCTTAAACTGGGTGTGTGACAGGTATGGCTGTGGAAAAATTCAGTCAAAAGATTTTTTTTGTTGCTTTAACCCCTGCTGCTAAGATGAGATGTCCTGATTATAACTCTGCATATTTTTTTCAGGACAATGCCATTTACAACCTGCTGCCAGACATCATCAGCCGATTATCTGATCCTGAACGTGGAATGAAGGAGGAGGACTTCAACACCATTATGAAGTGAGATATGATTTATGCTGCGGTTACAGTTTAACTTATTCTGCATGACAAGCCATAAATCACTTCTATTTAACTTTCTCTTTCAGACAACTCTTCTCCTACATCACTAAAGAGAGACAGACAGAGAGTTTAGTGGAGAAGCTCTGCCAGCGATTCAGAACCGCAAAGTGGGTATCGGACACAATTTGTTTTTCATTGGGCTACACAGTCTCCCAATGGAAACAGTGCTCTAAAAATGTCTTTCCCGTTAATCACCAAAACTAAAAGGTTTTAACCTGGTTTTGGAAGATTTTTCTACTTCAAGCAAGTCCAAAGATGCAATTCTCCAAAATCAAATTTTAAAAAAGGGCAATGAGAGCTTTTCGTGGTGCACGGGAAAACATTACTAGAGCAACATTTATGAGACTGGGCTCCTTTATGACAGATGAGCAGGTCTCCGTCTCATGTGACATCTTCTCCCCTGTTCTCTCTGCAGGACTGAGCGTCAGTGGGCAGATCTGGCCGTCTCTCTGTCCTTGTTGTCGGTGTGCGAGCGAGGTTTCAAAAAGCTGCAAGAGTGCTGGGACTGTTACAGTGATAAACTCGCTGAGCCTGGAGTCTATCAGCCCCTCCTGTCCATTGCAGCCAAACTCCGTCGACGAGCCAAACCACAGTTTAAGGTACTACATTTCTGTATGTGTGGCTAGAAAACGGCGTATTGTATACAAGTGTGCGCACACAGCACTGATCAAGACTTGGTGACTGTTTATGCTAGTGTGTTGAAAGTAGCTGTGTTTGTTTAGGCGCAGGTTGAAGACTACGAGAAGCGCTTGACTGCTGTTCACACTAAAGGGCTGGAGAATGTGGAGAACGAGGAGAGAGAACAGCAGATTGGAGACACACAAAGTCAAAACCTAAAAACGCCACAGCCACAGAAGAGCGTGCGCAAAACCACACGAGGTGAAGAGATCCAGCAGATCAGATCTCAGAAAGAATTCTATTATATAAATTCATCTCATTGTGTATCTCTGTATCTTTCAGGACGTAGTAAACCGAAGTTAGATGACAGCGACCTTGTAACCCCAAGAAAATCTCGCTCTCGTCCCAAACCTGCCATCACCTTTACCAGTGATGAAGAAGAGGAAGAAGGTCAGTCACTTTCACATGATTATCAATTTTAGTTCTAATTTATTCCATGTTAATTGTGCAAGCAGATAAACATCAAATTTTCATTTTTGGGTGAACTATCCCTTTAAATTGATCAAAAGTATGGGTAAAGACATTTATAATGTCAAAATATTCCTATTTCAAATAAATGCTGTTGTTTTGAAATTTCTATTCATCAAATCATCCTAAAAAAGGTATTTTGGTTTCCACAAAAAAATATTAAGCAGCCCAACTTTTTTCAATATTGATAATAGTAATGTTTCTTGATCATCAAATTAGCATATTAGAATGATTTCTGAAGGATCATGAGACACTGAAGACACTGAAAATTCAGTGTTGCATCACGGGAATAAATTAAATTTTAAAATATATTAAAATAGAAAGCAGTTGTTTTAAATTGTAATAATATTTCACAATATTGCTGTCTTTCCTGTATTTGAATCAAATAAATGTAATGTGTTTATTTGTGTGTGTGAATTCTTAAGGTACTGGCTGGATCTGACCGAGCAGGATGTGTTTTGGAACACGTCGGACACAGGTTGGGCCAAGTCTGCATGGAGCAGTGTGTTTGCGCCATGGATCCAGGGAGCGTGTGTGTTTGTTCACCACATGCCACGTTTTGATACAAGTACAGTCCTCAAGGTACAGGAACATCACTGGTCCATTCTTGACTGGAATGTTCTGCTTGATTCTTGATTCTTTAAAAAATGTCCCTAACAAAGCTGTATGAAAGTGTTTTATGGAAAAACCAAAAATTATAACACATAATCTAACTTTATATGGTTTGTTGAACAGTACACATTCTGGTAACACTCATGTTTTTCTCCGGACAGACTCTGAGCAGCTATCCCATCACCACCTTCTGCACGGCACCAACAGCCTATCGAATGCTTGTACAGGACGACATATCCAGGTACTGACTGTAACAGGTGCACTGTGATGTGTTTGTATTTAAATGAATTCTCTTTTAGCTCTATCTTTACAAGGCTTCATTTATGATTATTGGTTTTTATATATACTGTCAGCAGAAGTTTGTTTTTAATGGCAGGTAAGTTGCAAGTTTTTAACTGAATTGGTTAGTAAATGACTGAGAATCTTGACCTGGATGTTGTAATGATCACAGCAGAATGTGTGAACTGCTCCGGGTGTGTGTTCACGGTGTGTGTGTGTGTTCACTGCTGTGTGTGTGCACTTTGGATGGGTTAAATGCAGAGCACTAATTCCAGGTATGGGTCACCATACTTGGCCACATGTCACGTCACTCACTCACTCACTCACTCAGAATGACACTGATTCATCTGGTCCAGGTCTAGTCCTCATCTTTGTCTGTGGTTTTTGACAGGTTTACGTTCAGGGCTCTTGAGCACTGTCTGTGTGCAGGAGAGCCCATTAACCCAGAGGTGATGTGGAAATGGAAAGAACTCACTGGACTGGACATCTATGAGGGATACGGACAGACTGAGACTGTAAATAAACATTTAAAGGAATAGTTCACACATTTGAAAATTTTCTTAACATTTTCTCACCCTCAGGCCATCCAAGATGTAAAAGAGTTTGTTTCTTAATTAGAAAAGTGTGGAGAAATTTAGCCTTACATCTCTTGCTCACCAATGGATCTTCTGCAGTGAATGGGTGCCGTCAGAAGGAGAGTCCAAACAGCTGATAAAAACATCACAGTAATCCACACAACAAGGGAACACACAGCTTTTCACTTCCCAAGGTGGCCTGGAGTCGTGGTGGGGATTATTGTGATGTTTTTATCAGCTGTTTAGACTCTCATTCTGACGGCACCCATTCACTGCAGAGGATCCACTGGTGAGCAAGTGATGTACTGCTACATTTCTCCAAAGAAACAAACTCATCTACATCTTGTATGGCCTGAGGGTGAGTACATTTTCAGCAAATGTTCAAGTTTGGGTTAACTATTCCTTTAAACAGCTGAAACTCTTTTCTTGAATCAGGTTTTATAGGATCATTATAGACATGAGTGAAAATGGGTCCTTAATTAGCATCTGTTTTCATCTATGATATGGTCACAGATTCATTATAGAAGCACAGAGAATAAATATAAGCATAGTCTTGTGTGCTGTCAAGCAAAGATAGGTCATATCTCTTTTTTTCCACCTAGGTTTTAATAGCAGGCACATTCAAAGGCATGAAGATCAAACCAGGATCTTTTGGAAAGGCATCACCAGGATATGATGTTCAGGTACAGTAACAGTCTGTCCAGGGTTTAAACTGGGTATAATAATAGTTGATTGTTGTCCTTACTGGCTTCATATTAATAATAACTATATAGATGTAATAATACAGATAATAATTACATAAAAATAAAAAGATTCAGTTTTATAAATTACAAAAATTTACAGAAAAGCAATTGAGGTAGTACATTTTGTTTCATCTGATGGATTGGCTTGTTTTCCTGTGAGGTGAACTGTGGACTATTTTGGTGTAAGGTGGTGGATGAAGATGGTTCTGTTGTGCCACAAGGCCAAGAGGGAGACCTCGGCATCAGAGTCAAACCAGACAGGCCTTTCTCTCTTTTTACAGAGTTTTTTTTTTTGTCAGATTGAGTTTGTGGATCATCTTCCCAAGACAGTAAGCGGGAAAATCAGGCGAGTGGAGTTAAGAAAGAAGGAATGGGGACAGCAAACAAATCTGGAAATGAGTAAACAAATTTCTGGACAAATCACATTCCACCTTTTTATATACAACATTCCCAGATGTCTTCCCACTTTAATGCGCCACATTTAAGGATCTACACACCCGTAGTCCTTCAGCTCACCTGCAGGTGGAGGCATTTCATAACAATCAAGTTGCAGAACTCATTTCTAATTTCATGCATCAAACATTTTATATGATTCTACCTCATGTTTAATCATGTTTAAGTGGAGTAACTCAAAATTTATAAGCCTTGCAGTTCAAATGCGTTTTATTCTTTTCATATTAAATTGTAGATCATATTCTGCATATGCAAAACCTAAATGTGAATTAATTTGTATTTATATAATTAAAAGCCTCTTTTTTGAGTAAGTAATAAAAGCATTTTTGGGTGACTATATGTTAGCTAAAACTTGTTTATAATCTCTTCTAAACACAGTGATCCTTTTTTCCTCAAGAGCATGATGTCATGTGACTGATGACAGATGGCAGACACAAATCTGATCTGTGCTGAATGATGAGAGGATTGTGAGGTTATAAAGATTTCTGAATTTACCCTACAGAAAGGAGTGAGGAATGCAGTGATTTTTCAGATGACAAATCTGTTAGTAAATTAGTCTTGACCACTAATGGAGAAAAACAGATGACCTGTAGCTTGTCAAAAATAATAACAATGTGACAACTTTTGAAAAATGAAAGGCTAGATTTTATTTTCACACTGCCAAAACTTTAACCAAGCTGTAAATTTCCCTCTCTGGTTATTCAAGGACCATAGAGGGTGACATTTTTGTGGTGCGGCACACTCACTGACTGCAGTAATGAGACAGGTGCTGTTTAATTGACCTGTTAATGGGTCTTATGCTTATCAGGTGGAAAAACAGAGCCATAGACTTAAGCCAAAATATGCCAGACCTCAGCCATTTAAACTGCTTCATGGCATGTCATTAAATCAGACTGTAGATGTTTGTTATGACAGCCTGAAGGATGTCGGCCTGAAAACACAGCTTGTTTGTGTATGCAGAGATGTGTTTGTGGATCAATCTGTCGGTTTTGGTTTGCAGCAAGTAATTTGAATGGCTCAAACTGCTAACAGACTGTCAAAACCTGAGCTGCTTACCTGTCCTTACAAAAAAGTACTGTGGCTGTACCATACCAAATACCATAGTACTGTGATATACAGTGGGTTCCAAGTCTGTGTCTACTAGTGAAATTAAATTCCTTCATATTAGTTTAGTAAATTGTGCTTTATTTTTAAGGATTTTCTTTTACAATGTATATTATATATTACTTGGCAATAACAATTTGAGTGAAAAGTAGAACACACTAATGATATGGTATATTATTAAGTTCTATATAATTGTAAAATTTCTTAAAACTAAGTGTTTTTTTTTTAAGCTTTTTAGTTTTTAAAAGTTTATGGAGGCCTATGGTCTCAGACTTTTGAAAACTGGGAACGGTATTAATCGCATACAGTGGTGGCCAAAATTATTAGAACACTTTCACCAGCTAAAAAATGGTCTTAAGTCCGTTATTTCTATCTTTTGCTGTAGTGTGTCAGGAACTTGTGTAAAAATGCTGTAAAATGAGGATGCTGTCAAGAATGATGTCATAAATAGATTTTCTTTATCAATTAACTTCGATTAACTAAATTAAATCAACATTTGGTGTAAGGCAGCTTTTTCCCTAAAGTGCACTTGAGCATAGTTTTTCAGCTTTGCAGGTAGGTCTCTTGAAGGCATGTCACCATATTCTAATTTGTTGGGATAGTGAATTGGTGGGTTTTTGTTAAATGTGAGCCAAAATCATCACAATTAAAAGAACCAAAGACTTAAACTACTTCAGTCTGTGTGCATTGAATTTATTTAATACACGAGTTTCACAATTTGAGTTGAATTACTGAAATAAATGAACTTTTCCACGACATTCTAATTTATTGAGATGCACCTGTATTAGTATGTATATTGCCACCAGCTCATGTTAAATGGTCCTGTGATATGACAAATGAATTGTTAAAACTAGACTTACTAAATAATGCTTCTAAATTAATATATAATGCATATTAACTGTAAAGGAACTATGTTTCAAGTAGTTTTAGATGGAGTACAGCATACCCCAGTGCAACATGTCAAATTCCACTACAGTTTTACCACTGCATATATCAAAAAACGCTAGTACCATGGCACTTTTAGTTTGTGTAGACAGCATCTGAATCAGCTGTAAGCGCCTATGATGCCCAGAAATGCTGTCTAGTTAGGAAGCGCACTAGGTTTTGATTAAAAGAGGATTTTTAGGGCATTAAGTTGAGCTCTGTCAGGGAAACAGCCGTGAGGTGGACACGGGTCACCGACTCGGATGTTTGTGGATTATTATTTTTTCTGCATTAAGTGCAAATCACGTGAGATGAATGTGCAATGACAGCGTCCCGACACCGAGCGGTCTCGCGCAGTTCTCGAGGAACGGACTCGCGCTCATATACCTTCATGTAATCGAGCACTTCGTCGCGTTTTTACGGTGTTTTCTTTCTTTTTGTTGTGCTTTTTGGTTTGGTTAGTTTCCTAGCAATGGCTTGGCCGTGCATCAGCAGAGTCTGCTGCTTGGCTCGGTTCTGGAACCAGTTCGATAAATCGGATTTGTCGGTTCCGCTAACGATTCAGAACTACTCTGACATCGCGGAGCAGGAGGTGCGATCCGTCACCAAACTCGTTTTCACGGAACGGGCGCCGAGCGTCGACTTCGTAACGCCGGATCATGCGGCGGGAGTCCGGCGGCCGCACCGGGGACGCACGGAACCGAGTTATAAACCCCGCGAGGACTACCATCCCCCGGGTGTGCCTTTCCCGAGCGTCACCCAGTACAAACAGGATTACAAACCCTGGCCCATCCCGAAGAAAGATAACTTTCCCTGGATTAGTAACGGAGGGAAAGGCGGCACTTTAACGGATAGCCCAGTGAACGGTTACTCTAACGGCACGAGTCATCCGCGGGCGGACAGACAGGAGCGCAGCGGCGGCGGGAGGCAGAGAGGAGGAGATCAGCTCAGCTCATACAGGTACTGCTGCTCTTCTCATGGGAGCTGTTCTTCAGCACCTCTCATCCACTGCAGCACACTCACTCACTTCTCAACAGTTTGTCATCATCATGAGTAAATGTATTTTAATAAGATATTTTACTGCGATCCAACAAAGAAGATTTTGGATTTATTTTATTTTATTTTAGCCCATTTAGTGAGTAAAACAAATTACAAAGACAAAAAATCCATATAATAATAATACTATATGGATTAATTTCTTTATTTTATTTTAGAGTAGAGTAAAAAATATTACAATAGACAAAAATTCCATATTATAGTACTACTACTACTACTAATAATAATTACAATCTATTGTTTTTTTTAATATGTGAATCTATATTTTATTTTATTATTTTATTTCATTTTAGCCTGTTAATTAAGTAAAAACAAAGACAAAAATACCATATAATAATAATTATTATATATGGATAAATCTCGAGTCTTTGTAATTTCTATTTTTTATTTTATGTTGAAGTAAAAACATATTACAAATACAAAAAATGGTGTATTATTATTTATCTATATTTTATTTTGTTATTTTATTTTGGCCTATTAACGTTAAAATGACAAAACCAATCTTAAAAATAGTGATATTATATGGCCATATTTCTTCTCAATTTTTATTTATCAAATAGACTACTATACTAACATAAAATATGTAATAATATCACTTATTATTGGCATTATTATTATTATCCAAGTCAGACAAGATTTGAATATACACTAGAACCTAAAAGAGTGGTAGCCTATTTATCTCTGAAATAACATATGTTCACTATAGTCTCCAAAACGAATTGCTGGAGGATATATATCTGATTCACATAAACAAGCTTTCACACATTTATCTCTTCCGGTGAACGAGAAGTGTCCTTTCTTTGATGCTGGTTGTACTGATGTGGTTGTAACGGTTGTGCATTGCAGTGATTTTCACTCAGTGTGGTTACTGGTCACTGTCATGCATATTTTATCCGACAGCTCATGAACGAGCGGAATGAATCTAAAACAATTACATAAACAGAGTTATCTGAGGGGAACAGAATGAACTGATTACAAACAGCCCTCAGTGTTCATCAGCCTTTGGTTGAAGGATGTATGAAACCGTCACTTCTAGTCATTTATTCACTCAAACCTTTCTTACATGCTTTCATTCTGCATGCAGATTTTTTCTTTTCTAAACCTTGCATATGTATGTACAGATACGTATAGTGAGAATCATTTTTCATACAGGTTAAGCTGAAGTAAGTCTTTATGGTGGGCACCTGTTGTTGTGATTTGTCAGCATGACTTTAACTCAGCCTGACATGTGCTGCTCTTATCTGCAGCTCCGTCTCTGTCTTTCTCTGTCTCTGTCTGATACATTTGATCTCTCTCTGGAGTCAGGCAGGAGTACCAGCCGTGGTCTGGAGCCCGGCCGTCAAAGCCTGCCCACAAACGGCCCACCTTCCTGGGTAAAGGTGCTGACAAGCCCCCACCGGAGACTAGCTACCAGGCGGCTTTCAGCCCGGACACACACAGACACACGGAGGCCGGCGTACCGGAGAGCAGCACACACACGCAGACAGAGAGAGCACACTCACACAGGACAGACATCAGCATGAAACCAGAGGTGAGTGAGACGACAGATCAGAAGAGAAAGAGATCAAATCAGACAGCGAGCTGATGTGACAGAAAGATCAACAGAGAGCAAAATTTGAAACCAGATTCTGCAGAATAAGAATGAACTGGCTTTGATATAATCCGCAGGAGACCAATATGTAAAAACAAGTATAGTCTATAAAATTTTATCATAAGGACATATATCAACATTTTTATAACAAAAAGTTCACCCTAAAAGAATACATATGATATAGGTATTATTTATATAAATGGGTATATATTTATATAAAAAGTTTGTATTAAATATATATATATATATATGTAGTCATTTTTTTCACATTTTGTTTCATTCGTTTTGTTGGTTGTTTCAAACTTCTTCCATTAAGGGTAACAGAGACTACATGCTTCTGTGAACCTTCAATGAAGCAGAACTTTTTCTGAACTCTTCCACAGATGTGTGGCTTGACACAAACCTGTTTCTGAGCTCTACAGGCAGTTCTTTTGACCTCAGGGCTTGGTTTTTGCTCTGATATGCATTATCAGCTGTTAGACCTTTTATTAAGATGTGTGTGCCTTTCCAAATCATACCCATTCAATTGAATTTGCCACAGGTTAATTTCACTTGAAGTGTAGTAACATCTACAAGCAAAATGAATGCTCCTGAGCTAAATTTAAGCTGTCTATATATATATATATATATATATATATATGTAATGAAATGTTCAAATATTTGTTATATTTATATATCTGTACTAAAATAACAAAATATAAAATAAACAATTAAAGCATTAGTACAGAAAATATGTATACTAAATATAAAAAAAAACATTTAAATAAGTGTATGATTATACAATAAATGTGTTCAATTGTAATACTCTTAAAAATCCCAAACATTCATAAGCATAAAATGGAAGCCTATGGGGCGAAAGTATATGATGGATTTAGCAGAAATATGCAGATTTCATAGTAGTGAAAGCATATCCATGAATTATTCATGTTTGAGCTGTAAAGCTAACAAAATCAACCTTTTGAAGTGGGTTTACCTTTATAGCTAGTGACATTTTTGGCCAACTTTTGGGCTGATAGTTAAAGCTGTAGTTAAAGTTGAATTAAAGTTGTATTTAGGTAAGCAGGAATATTGATTTGCGTAACCTTTTAGGTTAATCTGTGAAATCAAGCCTAATGTGCAATTAAATCACATTGGTTATTTAACACTGATACCTTTCTGGGACAAATGGGAGTTTTAGGTCTGGTAAAAGTTGTGCTCTATGTATCGACTAGCGCTGATTCATTGGGGTTATGTAATCAGTGACCCGCTCCTGTGCCCGTCTTCTCAATAAGAATCAAAACTAACTGTGAAACTGGTGCTGCATCTTTTGCACGTCAGTCAGTGAAGTATGCACTAATTGGGATTCATTTAGTCCTAATTACTAACCCATGCATGCTGTCAAACCTCATGCTTGACCAGTGAGGAGAGAAAGTGACGGCTGAAACACACAATGCCAGCG